GCTCCATTTCTGCAGATCAGTTTTTGTGAATGAATGACTTTTGTCTTCATCACCTGCTGGTGAGCGACTGACAGCCGCTGGAGATCATGCATCGCTGCTCTACTGCTATTCCTGCAGATCCCGGATGTGCAATCCTGAATTTAAACCTCTGAATTTGTGGAAGCGAATTTGTAAAGTGAAATAATATGGATCGAAAATTGCCTGTCGAATATTATACATCGTATTCTTAAACAGATTGAATATTTCGGAAGTGAATTCTGGAAAGTGGATATGAATTACTGCATTTTTAATTATGAAAATGTGTGTGAATTGTTTTGAATTGAAATATTCACAGCTTAAATAAACAACTATGTTAAATGTCAGCCCCTGAAAATACAAGGCATTAAAATGCAAACACTGTTAATACAATGCATTATTTTTTTCAGTTAGTGCAATTTAACATGCTTTTTTGTTTCAAAGACATTTGTCAATATTTTTCTTCCATAACAGTATCCCATGAATAAATGCTGAAAAAACAATGAAAGAAGCGAAATAAGAGTTCAAAATAAAATAATGTGCTACCATTTTCTTTCGCTGAGCATCTGCCTCATACTAAAATGACATTTTAGCCCCCTTTCATAATTAACTTATTTAAAATGTGACTATATGCTGAAGTTGCAGTTCTCCTCTGATTGTGCGTTTAACTAACTGCAGCTCTGTGTTAATGCGTTGCATGCGTCTTCTTTATTTGACTGCAGTTCGTTTAAGGCCCTGAGAATGTCTTTAATTACACACAGTGGTCTGGCCGTGTGAAGTTTGAAACATGCTCTGAAAGCCATGATAAAACCTCCTAATTGGACTGGCAATTAAAGCGCGTCCCCCTCCGCTGAACCCCAGCCTGCCCCGCGTGAGCTCTAATGAAGTGCAAATGCATTTCGTAGACGGCAGTTTGATCTCTTCTGGTCCACTTACATTCATACATAGTGGAGCCATTAGAGGCAGAAATCTGCAGCCTTATATATGTGAAGGACTAGAGGGATTTATTTTCTCTCTCATTATGATGCTTGATGGGATGCAGTGAAACGTTTACACACATGCAGGGTCTGTCCTCCACTGGTTCAGATGTTAGAGTTGTTGAAGGACTAAACTGTCTGGCCTCCAGCACATCCTAAATCATTATCACTCTTTAATAACTCCTACAGCCGCAGTGTTAGATTAAAGTCACTGCAGAATATGGGCATGTGCGTCAGATGGAGCGTCCTGAGCTTGTTTTGAGCAGTTTATTAACAGTTTATGATCCTGTTGTTCTCAGATTGTTTTTGTTTTTTTAATTCCTGTATTATAGAAATTCGATTATGACACTTACATTTGTAAGATGGGATTTTGGTCTTTCCTCCTCATGTAGACATGAGCTGTATTTGCATGCCTGGAAATGAGCAGCCTGAGGGAGTCAACAGACGTGCAGCACCTTAATGACGTGATTCAGTGAAACAGATTGATTGGCGTCATCCTTCACTATAGATCTAGTGGTCATCATGTGTTTGGTCTCTGGTCTCCGGTCCGAGCACAGGTCACACATGCAGTCGCGTATGAAGGAAAGGCTTGAATGCTGCAGTGTTGTAGAAACAACGAAGGCGTGTTTTGTTTCTGTTATAATCTTCAGAGTATCAAACCCAGCCGCAGGCGTTCAGATCGTTCGACTGCAGTGACTCTGTCCTCAGAGACGTTTCAGACGCACAGTTCGACAGAAACCGCTTTTCAGGGGTTGAGTAAGGACTCAGACACTGCGGTTTGCATTCCCTTTCCGTTTGTCACAGCAAGAAGTTATTTACTGCACACACACGCATCGCTTTCTCACAGGAGTCTGGTTTAGACCGATCTCTCACACCTGGTCTCTGAACACCCGGCAGCATTAGAGATCCGTGCTGGTCCGGCCGGCTGCATGCGTGTTCACGTCCCGAGAGTCCTGTTCTCCAGTCAGCGCTGGGTTTCTGATCTCGTCCTCCTCCTGGCCTCTGTGGGTCTTCGGTTAGCTTCATCTGGCTGATCGTCGTTCTCCATTCTCGCTCCTTAGCTCCATCTCCTGCTTTGTGGCGACCGTCCGCAGCTTTTTCATGTTATCCGCACATGGGAATCGTTGGAGTGGCGTTTCTCCTGTGTTTCTCACAGCTGGAACCATGCGCAGGGGCTCATGAGTCTGACGCTCTCGAGCGCTCATTCAGGACGGGACACTCGTGAAGATCAGCCTCCAGATGCTTCGAGGAGGATGCGTGTAAAGAGTCTCAGGTGGCCTGTATCTGCATCTCATTTGTTCCTCAGCAGGTGTTCAAAGGCCTTTACAAGGTCAGGTTAATGCCGTCTTTAAAAAAACAGGAGTGTTTTTGCACAGAGAAGCAGTGGGTGGGGAAAACCTCCTCCCTGACTCAATTAAAAACGAATAAAGGCGACGAGGGTATATTTCACCGAATCCAAACGAGGCCTTAATGTGAAGTAGCTCGAAGCGTTTAGGGGGAGAGATGCAGCCCGTGCATCCGTGGACCGCATCAGAAATGTTCTTCAGCTAATGAAAGCAACTCCTCTGGAGGCACTTAAGCCTGCCGCTGGATTTGTCTCATTCCCGTCCGTTTGTGTTTCACAGCCGCCTGCAGGGGGCGACACCTGAGAAACTCCCTCAGCAATAAACCACCAAACCAAGCTTTGAGTTTGACTCTGCTCTGTCCTGTGATAAGTCTGTCCATGCGGCACTGGCTTTGAATAGGTTTCCAGTTCTTTGAAAATATATGAATTTGGTCAAACATTTGTGGATTACATGGCTTCTTCCCAAAGCAATACATACATGGACATTAAATAGATATTTGAGCTGAGTTGTTCTCCTCAATATTCAGTGTCTAAAATGAAAAATTCAGACATTTACCAATGAAACTAGCATCATTACACACAAACACCTGACCATGACTGGCCCGTCAGAATCACATTTCAGGCTTATTAATCAGATTTCCTTTCATCACTCTGTGCGCTTTCTTCTTGCATTAAATCATACATACATGGACATTAAATAGATATTTGAGCTGAGTTGTTCTCCTCAATATTCAGTGTCTAAAATGAAAAATTCAGACATTTACCAATGAAACTAGCATCATTACACACAAACACCTGACCATGACTGGCCCGTCAGAATCACATTTCAGGCTTATTAATCAGATTTCCTTTCATCACTCTGTGCGCTTTCTTCTTGCATTAAATACATAGATGTGTGATGACGTGGAGTCAGCTGGTCATCCTTCGCTTTGCTGCTCGTCCTGTCAGGGATTGTTTGTGATAATGACCCTCTCGTTGAACTTTGTCTCTTAATTACAGTACTCATAGCGATTTGTAATAATAATATCCTCTGTATTTAACCTCTCTGACACTGAAATACAACCGGTCTCCTGTTTTGAGAGGATCTCAGCGTGTGACTGCAGGAGTCTCGTCCCGTCAGCCCCTCCTTCATGACGTCTGCTGCTGGGGAAGAGGCCATTGAATCATCGGGTAATATGTGCTCTCACTCGTGCCAGAGAGCAGAATTGACTTTGGCTGACCTCTGACCTCCATCTGCTCCTTTAGTAATTCGCAATGTTACCTCCGTCCCGTGGAGAGCTGCGCTCGCGTGCATCAGCGTTACGAGACGTTCTCTCTTCCACATGATCGTACGTGCAAATATCGTATTAAAACATTGATTCTGATTTCCCAACATAAATGACTTTGCATTGTTGATGTGTCTTGTGCTGTGTTAGAGAGGATGAACGTGAATCCAGCTGGGATGTTCATGGAATAATTGCTGTAGAGTCGCTCTCTGTAGCACTTGAATATTTAATGGCAGGAATCATCAGAGCTGGACGTGTGAAAGCAGAGATGTGCTGCAAATCAAAAGCGCAGGGAGTGTCCTGCAGGAAAAATAAGCGTCGCTCCTAACAAGTGTGGCTTCTTGAATCTGTCTTTATTAAAATCATCTTGTTGTTCCTCGCTCTCCCTCTCGCCTCTTTTCTTTCTGCTTTTTTAATGTAATGAACCTTGCCTTGAACCATCTTTTTAATTGCCTCTCCTCACATTTTCTGGGAAAAATGCAGTTTTTCATTTCAATGAATTAATTTTCAGGGAGAGCAACTGAATAGCAATTTAATTAGGCGGCCGGCATTGTGCGGCCTTTCCAGCATTTTTTCTAGAAGAATGCTGTTTAGAATAAATAATGATGCTCAAAATGAGAGGCTTTTAAAGTGCATCAGTACAGGAGCATGCAACGATATGCCACGCCACATTATGCTGAAATAGCAGCCGGGGAAATTAAGTTGGAAAATGGCTCTTATTTTTGCCCTTAATGAGCCTGTCCCCGCTGCTCTCGGCCCTTTTGTGTTTCTGCTTTATTCATTTATTTGGCATAAAACCTTTTCTGCCTTATCTCCTTCACTTTTGTTTTCCTCAGAATATCACCTCCGTTTGAGGCACGAGCTCCTGCAAACAAGCCTGTTTTTGCCTTTGTGCCACACAATACTAGCTGATGAAGCGTTTTCCTGTTTTTCAGTCAAGACTCTGGTATTTTTGCCATGAAGCGAAGCCAGAAGATGGAAGGCTGATAGAGGTGTCTGTGTTTGTGATGTGTTTCGGTTTCTTTCTGCAGGCAGAGAAGCTGTAAAGAGGTCTGATCCTTCATCCAGATGAGCTCAGAGCCGGAGCGCGGGGACACGTCTCATGTTTATTGATATCAGTGTTTCTAGAGCTTTAGTGATCTGAGCTGATGATTGTTCTTCATAATATCTGTGATGACCAAGCTCTTTTAAGATCAGATCTGATCACAACACCTCTATCAGGCGTGTGTGTGTGTGTGTGTGTGTGTGTAAGAGAGAGAGAGAGAGTGTGTGAGTGTGTGTGTGTGTAACAATAGGTATTTTGCATAAATTAAGTATCTTTAGAGACAAGTCTGCATAATTTTGAGTACAGTGTTTTCCTGAGACACACACACACACATTACTGGTCCACTCTGGAGCAGATGAGACTACAGATGCTCCACTACAATGACTCAATTGACTCTGTTGTTAATTTTATCCTTATTTTATCTCATATTGATAAGATGTATCAACTGACAGGGTTCCTTGTAAAGTTTACAGCTTTAGTTGAGCGGCTGTTTTCATTAAGAAAACATTTTGAGACATACTGAGCCTGATATACACTATATGGACAAAAGTATTGAATTTAGGTATTTCAATCAGACCCATTGCCACAGGTGTATAAAATCAAGCATTAGACACTAGATCTGCATTTACACACATTTGGGAAAAAATGGGCCATTCTGAAGAGCTCAGTGAGTTCAAGCATTCCCAGAAGAGTGAAAGCTGTTATAGCTGTAAAGGGGAACCATCTGCATATTAATGTCTGTATGTTTAGAATGTGATGTTATTACAGTTCCTGTTGGTGTAATTGTCAGGTGTTTCAATACTTTTGTCCATATAGTGTATATCCAAAGAAATCGATATTGAATCAAATTACAATAAAAATCTAATAAAATCAAGAGCTGGTGAGTCTGGAATCTGTGTCGCTGCACAGTCCTACTATATAATAATACACAAGGGCTAATGTTTAATAAGTCTGTGCTTATCAAATTAAGAGGCGTATTATCAAATATCAAAAGTACTGGTAGTGGATATGAATGTGTAAATGATTGTATTATGTGAACAGAGAGAATACGAGTGGCATGAACCTAGTACAAAATCACAGTGACCACGATCAGTTATATAGTTAAGAGTCATTGGACACAAATAATGACTAAAGTATTGACTATAATGTCAAACTGCTGCTATTCTGATGTCTGGAAAAGAGTAGAAACTTTTGTTAATCTGATTTTCCAGTGACAAAGTTCATGCTTGCCCTCCGTGTGTCAGAATAACCGTTCTGGATCGTATGTATCGCGTCATGTATCATATGACCGCTATCAGGCGTGTGTGTGTGTGTGTGTGTGTGTGTAAGAGAGAGAGAGAGAGTGTGTGAGTGTGTGTGTGTGTAACAATAGGTATTTTGCATAAATTAAGTATCTTTAGAGACAAGTCTGCATAATTTTGAGTACAGTGTTTTCCTGAGACACACACACACACATTACTGGTCCACTCTGGAGCAGATGAGACTACAGATGCTCCACTACAATGACTCAATTGACTCTGTTGTTAATTTTATCCTTATTTTATCTCATATTGATAAGATGTATCAACTGACAGGGTTCCTTGTAAAGTTTACAGCTTTAGTTGAGCGGCTGTTTTCATTAAGAAAACATTTTGAGACATACTGAGCCTGATATACACTATATGGACAAAAGTATTGAATTTAGGTATTTCAATCAGACCCATTGCCACAGGTGTATAAAATCAAGCATTAGACACTAGATCTGCATTTACACACATTTGGGAAAAAATGGGCCATTCTGAAGAGCTCAGTGAGTTCAAGCATTCCCAGAAGAGTGAAAGCTGTTATAGCTGTAAAGGGGAACCATCTGCATATTAATGTCTGTATGTTTAGAATGTGATGTTATTACAGTTCCTGTTGGTGTAATTGTCAGGTGTTTCAATACTTTTGTCCATATAGTGTATATCCAAAGAAATCGATATTGAATCAAATTACAATAAAAATCTAATAAAATCAAGAGCTGGTGAGTCTGGAATCTGTGTCGCTGCACAGTCCTACTATATAATAATACACAAGGGCTAATGTTTAATAAGTCTGTGCTTATCAAATTAAGAGGCGTATTATCAAATATCAAAAGTACTGGTAGTGGATATGAATGTGTAAATGATTGTATTATGTGAACAGAGAGAATACGAGTGGCATGAACCTAGTACAAAATCACAGTGACCACGATCAGTTATATAGTTAAGAGTCATTGGACACAAATAATGACTAAAGTATTGACTATAATGTCAAACTGCTGCTATTCTGATGTCTGGAAAAGAGTAGAAACTTTTGTTAATCTGATTTTCCAGTGACAAAGTTCATGCTTGCCCTCCGTGTGTCAGAATAACCGTTCTGGATCGTATGTATCGCGTCATGTATCATATGACCGCGTGTGCCAGGATTCTTGAGTTATGTGAAGCAGCACTCGATTAGGGATGGGTAACAAATAGAATAAACCTGATAAAAGTAGAAAGCACGGCTGTGTGTGAACTAGATTGCACGCTTTAAAACAGTAAACAGTAATTTTGCTGAAGATTTATCATCAACAAACTAAGCAAATGCAGTTCTCTCAAACAAATGTGCCTACTGTGCTATTTGAATCTTAATATTTTCTTCCCATGAGCCTCTATTTGAAGAACATTCAGACTCCTTAAGTTCTCCATAAGTTTAAGTTGTGTCTTGATGGCGATTAACGTCCGCTAGGCACTTGTGTCACTCTTAAACGGTAAAGTTTGCCATGGTAAATGTTTGAAGTGACTCACCGTCTAAAACCCTCTTTGAAGTGGCTGTGAATATGAATATGGAGATCTGCTTTTCTGTGACATTGGCGGTTGTCAGCGAATGACATTTGCTTTTCTAAGGATTAAGGCTCTTGTAGATTTTGTAGGGGAATTAATGCAGTCATGTGTGACTACTGTGCAGTTGAGGTGATTAAATTTATATGACACTTTTATTATACGTATGTCAGTGTTAACCTCCACCAAATGTTGCTCCATGAAGAGCCTGTTAGCTCATTTGTGAACTACATTTGTAACAGCTTTGTCGAATAACAAGGTCATTTCTTTGAAATTCCTTCCAAACCTTTTACATGCATTTTAATGGCAGTGTAGCAAATGTGGCTCAATTGAGAGAAAATTGAGTCAAGGCACTTCCGTGTTGGTTAACTGGATATGCTGCAGATAGAAGCAGTCGGTAGTGTATGAACACAGCATTTGACCTGAAGTCATGTGGAAGAGCTTAGACATTTATGAGTTTGCTCGGTGGAGTGGAGCAGAGATTTTATTATGCGTCATTCCTTCTGTCGGGAGAGGGTTTGCTGGTGTAAGCGCTGCAGTGCTGTGATGCAGGAGGCCTAACTGTGCTCAGGACATCAGAACATGTGGTGTGCTATAACGTCATGTAGAATTAGATCCAACATAATCTCTGTTTGATTTCTGCTCTTCCACCCCTGCAAACAATCCGAGTGAGCTTCCTCACATGTGCCTGCATTTCATAGAACATGTGGTGTGCTATAACGTCATGTAGAATTAGATCCAACATAATCTCTGTTTGATTTCCGCTCTTCCACCCCTGCAAACTCACAGATCCGAGTGAGCTTCCTCACATGTGCCTGCATTTCACTGTACGAAACGAAAAGCCTTTCTGAAATGCTGTTTGAATGGCACACGAATCTACAACCCTGATCAATAGTTTCAAGTAAACCCTGCCAATTCAGCCAAGATTCATCTGTCTCATGGACTGAAGCGGCACCGTAAATCTCCCCGACTAAAGGATTTGGTGAGTGAAGGAGAACATGAACTGCTAAGTGATGGAGGGCAGCAGCAGAGGTTTGATTTCTGCTTGAGAGAGTCGCTCGGCGTGTCGACAGGACAGTGAGCGTCCGCAGTCAGAAAGCATTAGTACGTGAGGGGAATCTCCTCTCCTCAAACACCGGAGTAAAGCTGTCTGATCCCCACGCTGAGAAGCAATCCGCCAGGAAAAGTGCAGACTTTTCTCTTTTTCAATAGTTTCCTTCCCCTTTTTGATCTGGCCAGAGAGATGAGATGTGTGCAGGTTTGCTTCTGAAGCTCCTGCCATCTCACCCACACAAGTCTTCAGTCGCTTCATCTGTCCTTCAGACGTGGAGATGAAGATGGTGTCTGCGCTTTCGTCTAATCTCCACTCCTCTTGTCAGGGAAGCTCTTCTTGAGGTGACTTATTGTGGCCTTGCAGCCATGAAGCTCAAAGCCTGAGATCTGTCATGCTCCTGAGGCAGCTGTGTCTGTCCGCTTGATGTTTTACAAGGCTGCCCTGCGCTCAGCCTTTCCTTATTACGGTGGTCAAAGCTGTTGTTCGTCAGAGGACTTGGATTCTTGACAAGCCTCTGGATTATTGGGCGCCTCTGGATCCTGCCGCATCTTTTGCAGGAACCTCACCCGAGGCCAGGGACGCCCAGAAGACATCGTTGCCAGAAGGTGGATTTATTCTTGAAAGGAAATCAAAATCTTTCATGTTTGCAAATCTAAATTGTGTGGACTGATGGGAAAGTGCAGGATCATCTCAAACGGTTGACTGTCTTTCTGAAATGAAGTCAGGATCAAAGGCCAGCGTATTTATCGCTTCTACAAGCCTTATTGCAGTCAGAGCTTCGACGGCCATCTGAATGCATTCAGCTCCTTTGCAGTTGGATGTATTATGAGTGTAAGACCAGCTCTTCAGTAGGAGTCCATTTCTGTCAAGATCAGACATGTCTGTCATCTGTACCTATACAGTCTGATGTGAGTGCAGCATTTGTCTCTTTACGTTCCTCTACTTCTCTGACCACCTTTGTTAACCCCGTCCCTTACACCAGTGATTCTCAAACTTTTCAGCTTGTAGGCCCTCCATTGTCCAATACAATATTCAAAGCACCCCCCTCCCCAAAATATATTGATATATTAAATATAATACAGGGCTCCAGACTGCGACCATTTTTTCTGCTGGTGCCACTAAAT